CTCCTCCTCCTCCTCCCCCCCCCGGTTCGGTCGTTTCCTCCAAACCCAACAACGATAATTGATCCAAGGCGAATCTCAAAGCTTCTTCTTGCGTTTGAGACGACCCCTCCCTCCTCTCTTTTTCGTTCTCCGGTTCCTGCCCGGTGTTTAAAATCGACGGTGGGCTTGGAGGAGGATTTAATAAAGCTAAACAACGAGGGGGGGCTCGACCAGCCTCTCCTCCGTCGGGTTGATAGATGGAGCCGGGCATGGCGGTGCTGTGCGGTGCTTTGCGGGGCGGTGGCGGTGCCCGGTGCCCGCCGCACGCCGCCTCCCCCCCCCACCCCGCCCGGCCCCGCGCCGTTCAGCCCCGCCCCCACCCTCCCCCCCTCCCCCCTCGACGTCAGCCCGCCCCGACAATGGGCCGCGCCCGGCGGTGCGCATGCGCGGTAGCTAACAGGAAGTGAGGAGTGGGGTTTTTTTTGCTTTAAGCCCCGCCTGTCTACTTCCGTCGCCACGCCCCCTCTCGCTTGCCCCACCCCCTCACATCCTGGCGGGAAGCGTAGAGCGGGCGGGGGAGGGGCGGCTGTGGGGTCGGCGTCTGAGAGCTGCTCGAAGCGTTTCCTTTGTGTGTTTTTATCCCCATCCCAAGCACGATAACCCATTATTTACAACCATACGATCAGCCCCGGGGGGGTCAGAGGAGCGTACGGCGTTTGCGGGCTCCTCTGACCCCGCCAGGGCTGAGGCCTCCACACCCCCCCCCCCCCCCCCCCCCCCCCCCCCCCCCCCACCTCCAACCCTGGGCCAAGCCCTGCTCAAAATCCACAGCCCCAATCCTCAAGCTTTATTTTTACCATTCTCACACCGTTCTCTCCCCCCATCCCTGTCTATGGGACCAGTTCAGCCATTGGGATCGTTTCCAACGACAACAGCCCTCAACGCCAGGCTCAGAAACCCCCACCTCAGAACCTCCCCCCCCCCACACACACACATCCTAATAAACAGAAATAAACCGCTGCTCAGCGGCCAAACAACACCAGCACCAGCTCTGCCCTCGTGCTCCCAAGGTCTGATCCACGGGGAGGGACTTTCAGCCCATAATCCCTTTAAAATTCTCCATCGTCCATCCAATCTATGGTTCTATGAACAAGATAACAGCCACCAGGAGCTGCCCTCCTCCTTTCCATCCTGTTTAGTTGGCAGCTGCTGCGATGCTTCATGCAATGCCTCGCTTGCTCCTCTCCTTTACATCCCCGGTGCTGAGCTCTGAGCTGCTGGTTCTGCATGCTGCACTGCTTCCTATCACAGCTTCCTATCACCATTTCACCATCACTCCGCGCTCATCCCCACCCGTCCTGTGCTCACAGCACCTTCCCATCCCATGCCGTGAGCTGCTGAGGGCTGTGGGTTGGATGGGAGCAGCTCACACCTGCTGCAGTTCCCCGCTAAGGGCAGATGTGGCACAAGCAGATCCGAGTGTGAGACGTCTCCTCCTCACGCTTCCCAAAATATTTCATTGAGTAAGCTGAATCACCCCCCATCAAACCACTAAAAATAGTGGCTTTTCCATTACTTGCGACGGAACGGTGCATCCTCTCCATTCCAAGCTTCTCCTATTTCCAGAGATTGTCAAAAAACAAACAAAACCAACAAAACCGGAAAAAGCCCCACCAAAAAACTCCTGGAGGTGGTCAATAACAGTGGAGATGTAGCATTTGGTTGGTGTTCTCAGAGGTCTTTTCCATCCTTAGTGATTCTGCTCAGTCTGAACCGATGCCAAGGTGAAGCTCCATAAGAAATGCTGTGCATGGGCTCCCCAAGTCACCCCAGCAACTGCAACAGCAGCTCCAAACTCTGTCACTTTTGCCCACGCTGTGCTCTCAGCCCTTTCTGGAAATCACTGCGTCACGTCCCACAACACCTAGGAAAGTGCCAGCTCTTATTTAAAGTGTGGTGGTTTTTTCTTTTTTTTTTTTGGCAAAACTGGTTTCTAGATGTTATGCCTGTGCTCCGTTCCATTTTCAGCAGAAGTAGCTCATGCTTTCTTCTTTCCTTCGCTTCTTAATTTCACCCGTGACCCTAAATTACCTTCTTTTTTAACCCGTGTAATTAGCAAGTCCTTAAAAGACTTAGCTTCATTAACAGAGAACACGGATTACATAAATTAGACAAATTCTTTAGCACATCTCCACTTGCCTACCAAAAACTCCACTGCTATAGTGAAGAACTGTGGAGCAGTGGCATTTGGGGACAGTCAGTGAGCACTGTGGGATGGGCTGGGTTTGGTCATCTTAGAGTCCTTTTCCAGCCCTAACGATGCTGTGATTCTAAGATCCAACTTCCCTGAACACAACTGAAAGGAGAAGGCTGGCACTGCTGCTCCCAAGCCCACCTACACAACGCTTGCTTATGGTTTCCCCGTTTCCTATCAGGGCTCATTCCCAATTCCCTCTGCTGCTGCTCCGTAGCCATTTGCCAAGCAGCCCCAAGCGGAGGAGCTGCCCCCAGAGATGCTGTGGGTCACAAACCTCTCAGCTGTGCCTCCAGCACGGCCCTCTGTTGGCTGTGGTCGCTGTGCCAAGAGGGCTCAGCATCGTGCTGGCACTGTGCTCTGCTGAGCATCCTCAGAACACAGCTGTCAGCCATCCCATCCCCTGCACACGTACAGGGAGTAAAGAACGCCGAACTAAAGCAAAGCAGAGGTGTAACAGCACATTAAGCCATTTTTCTGGATGTGGAAATAGATCAATATAACTCCAGCAAAGTTATTATTACCACCATAGCTATGCAAGTGTAACTCCCTCCATAATTCTGAGACAGTCTCTTCTATTTCAGGTCAAGTGTGCAAATGCAGAACTTGCAACACCCTCACTAGAATATTTATTCTGTTACAAAGACCAAACCCTAAAGAGTAGATACCTGAATAAAAACAGAGGGGAGGGGAAAAAAAAACCAACCCACACTTGACTCCAGTTCCTTTAATCACAGCACATTAGCCAAATGTGATACACAGGATGCAGCGTTTAGGTGGGGAGTGTGTTTTGCAGTGGCTCTTCTAAGTCTTCAGGAGCTCTAACTTGACTTTCTGCACTGTTCTCCAAGCAAAAGAAATCATGCAAACGTCATGCAAAGAATACATGCTTCGAGCACGGCGCAGGAGAGGTGGTGCAGCCTGGAGAAGGAGTATAAAAAAAGCCCTCAGTGGTGTGTGGGAAGGCTTAGGGGAATATTTCAGCACATCAGGAGCTGAATCACTGCATGTAGGTGGAGCCAGACAGATTGACAAGATCTGCAACTTTCAAAAATGACCTCAGTCTGAGATCAATCATCTCACAAAGTCGCTGACGGAGGGAACGACAGATGGATGTGGATGGAGGTGAGGAGGCTCAATGTCAGCATGGAAAAAGGCACTGGGAACACACGCTGTGTGCTGACCCACTCGTGTGACCCCAGGCACGCAGGGATGCATTGTGTGCAGTGTAAAAGGCTGAGCACAACTCTTCTTCTGTTACCTTCCAGCACTGCCACCAAAACTTTGTCTCCTGCTGCAGCAGCACATAAAAAAGGCACTCAGGGGGAAGCTATGAGCAGACTTCCCTTTGCCATGCATGAGATTAATGAAGGATGCAGCTTCCAGGTAATGACTTCTGAGAAGTTGTGGAGCAGCACTTGATGCAAAACTATGAATGAATTGCACATCAGATAAAAGCACGAAAAAGAAACGACTGTAAACCAAGCTTTCAAGTTTTACAGACCTTCAGATCACTGAATCCCAGTCAAATCTGCTTCACAGGCTGATCCGGGACATAAAACTGTACTCAAATTACAAGCAAACCCGAGTAATAACTTCCTAATTTCCTTCAGAAAGCCTGAACTCGGGGCCTGTTCATCAGCAGAGCTGTACTTTGTCCATGCAAATAAATGCAGCTCTCCTCAGCTGAGCAGTTCCTGAGCTCTGCCACTAGAGACAAACCACAGACGAGGTCACTCACTGCCCTACTATTCCAGTTCTGCACGATCTCTAAGCATTTCCCCTTGTGACTCTGCACGGTACGAAGAACACACTCAACATTAAGAGATTAATTGAATGAATTAAATAATGGCTCGCCTTGCTTGGTAAATAAAACTCACGAGCAGCCGTTGGCACTGTATCTGTCTCATCAATACTCAATTACAAAGCCAGCCCGTAACCCTGGCAATCATTTCAGATGCCATTTGGCAGGTCATGCTGGAAGTTCAAAATGTTATGACTGCAAATCAGCATTGAGCAAACGCTGCTCTGTGCTGCTCTCACGCTCAGCATCTGGTCGTGGGGTTAAACAAAAGGGCAATGCTTTGCCCTCATCAGTTCAAGGCAACACAGCTGATCTCCGATGATCTGAGGGCAAACCTGGGTTTTTAGCTGGCTGCATCCAACCCGGGATGCTATATTCTGTTTCCAGCAGGGAGCTGTGCTACGTATCGTGGGTCTGATAAGTTTGTGCTTCGTTTGATAGGGGATAACTGCACCTTTTGGACAGGGTGTGATGCAAAGATTTGCATGAGCATCTTTTCTCTTGGAGTTTGGTCTTCTGCATGCATGCAATCCCAAATAATAGGGCTGACTGGATAGTTAATCCTACAAAACTGACTTTTTAGGATCCCACCCTCCCCCCTCGTTTGCCCCATGCCCTTTGAACACGTTTATCCTACCTTCTTTTTGAGCATCAGGCTATGTGGAACAGGCTCTCTTTAAAGCAAGACGTGACTCAGGTGCTTGGAGATGGGTTGTCCTTTGCTACGTTCTGCTCTAAAACTTCCTGCAAAGTAGTAAAGGGTGGGAGTGAATTACAGAAACGAACAGGGGAAGCAGGAAGGCTCAGTCAGAGGGAAGCTGAGCACGTAGGAAAGATGGGGAAGGGCTTTTTTGCAGCTTCCACAGGACCAGCACCAAAACTCATCCAACCAAGGAAACTTTATCAGCACAGCACGCTGCCTCTTCCCTCTGCTCCTCACATTGCTGTCAGCCTGGGAGAGATTAGCTTGCAGCAAGACAGCTGCAAAATACATGTCATTTTTTTTTTCCCCTTTCACCTTCATTTACACTCCTCATTCAACATTTCCTTAGTTTCTAGAAAGGAGCAGGAGGACAACCTGCCAGAGCTAGAGAGAAGCAGAATTACCTCCACCAGCAGCTGATAAACTGCCACTGCTGAAAAGCTTCCATTCAGCAATCTGCTTGGCACAAAGCGAATGCTTTCAGCTCCCAAACGTGCCTCACTGATGGAAACACGTGTTTCTGATTTGCCAAGTTCATTCCAGCTCCTCCTCTCAACCCAGGAAGCAGAACAAGAGGGTGCATTTATCAGTGAATTCTCACATCAAACCTTTTTGCTGCAGTATTCCTGCTAGGAAGCCATGGGAGAGATGGAACAAAAGGCTCCACGTGCTGGGTTTAACGTGCCCACAGTAGCAACCCAGCTGTGCCTCTCATGCCTGTTTTCTCTTCCTAATATGCTCAGTTTACAAGCAAGAAAACTCCTCCCTTCTCTTGCTCAACAGGCAGCCCAGCAAGTTGGGCTTCAGATGGGAGCTGGCTTTCTCTCAGGCAGAGCCACCACCAAGAGCTCTGCAGGCTTAAACTGTACCAGTATCTGTGCAAATTGGTGATTTCACTGTCATTTTAGCAGATTAAAACTGCAAAACTCTCAAACCTCTCCTCTGAGCAGTGCTCCCAGCCACTGAGCAGGCTGCTGCTTGCAGGTGGGACACAAACCATCACAAGGAGCACAGCACAGGGCTGGGATGGCTTTTGTGAGCTCAGCAATGCGGACCCAAAGTGACACCATCTGCAGAAAAAGATGCATGATTGCAGCTGCACCGGGCAGACTCCTGCCCTTCTCAGTGATGATGACCACTCACAAAGCTTGGCACCATCATTTCAGATGAGCAAAGCAGTCTATCAGTGCAAACATTGCACGGGACACACCTAAGCCTAATATATTTTGCCTTGATATTATACAATTACTTTTCTCTTCCAAGTTTTCTTTACTTATTTATTGCTTCAAAAGATGCACCTCAGTAACGACGCTCTCTCCATCTTGGGGATATGCAGAAGGAAGGCAGGTCATCACTCCATCACTGCAATGAGAAACTCAGTGATCAGAGCAGCAACGTGAGAAAGACTCCTTTCCAAGGAACGTTCATTTACTCAGCCATCTCAGCAAGCAGGTAATGTCATTTAAGTTTCTTTGGATGTCCTGTCCTCCTTTTCTGGTACTCTGAGCAATCAGCTCCCTCCATATGAATGCAAAACATACACAGGGTTTTGATTTGAGGCACCAGTTGGCAGCAATTTGAACTTCTTAATTCATTCTTTTTAATCTTTGGTGCTGTCAGCTTCTCAGTCACCTGTGTTGTGGTGCTACAGAATCACACAGAATCACAGAATGGCCAGGGTTGGAAGGGACCTCAAGGATCATGAATCTCCAACCCCCTGCCACATGCAGGGCCACCAACCATCCCACCTAATGCTACACCAGGCTGCCCATGGCCCCATCCAACCTGGCCTTGAACACCTCCAGGGATGGGGCATCCACAACCTCTCTGGGCAGCTGTTCCAGCACCTCACCACTCTCTCTGTAAGGTCTCTATGTAGGCTTAACATGTATTTCCATTTAAATAGAAGTAAGCAGAGGCATCACTAGATATCAAAAGTTTACAAAAAAAACAAACATCAAAAATAGCATCTGGTCACCACTGTCGTAAGAACCCCTCCATGGTGGGCTATAGACTCCTAGAGCTCAATTCCAGCCCAAAGCACAGCACATCTCAGCAGCCACTCGGTGAGGATGCAGGACTCAGCAGCAGCTTTCCACAATGCCCCTCTTATCCTCCTCTTATGGATCTCAAACACTGAGATCCAAACCTCAGAGCAAAGCCCACCACAAAGATGTGAACATCTCCCTGTCCACGCAGATGGAATGCAGCACACAAACTCCAAGCAGGGGCTCGAGGGAAAAGAGGAGAGTCTCCACTTTGTGAGAAACATTTAATTCAACACAATGAATTACAAGAGGACAGTTTTACAGAATAATAACCGTAACAGACTGTTTAAAAAGGAAAATCATCCTCACTGGCTGCAGTAGAAGGTAAAGACCCCCAACGCAATACCTGGTACAGCAGCAGCAAAGTACAGTTTCAGTCTTCTTGCAGTACTCCAAATGAGCAATATCAAAAGGATTTTGTATTTTCACATCTTTAAGAAAAGTTAATACAGTATCAGTCACTTTGGCATGGGATCTTTTTCAAGGAGCTTTAAAACCCTACGGCCGTCACTAAAGCAAACTACTCCCAAAGGTCCCTCGCTCTGACTGCTAACCATTCTCACACAATAAAGGCTCTGGGAGCTACTTTCTTCCCCAAGTTTTGGGATACCAACGACTTGTACAAGTGGTTAGTGGCACAATATTTAATCCACCACTTTATACTGTTACTCTCAGCTGAAACATCCACGCATTCATTATGCAGTGGATACCCTAAGACTAAAATAACTTCTGCAACCTAGTCAATGTATTCTCCAAGCTATACACTCCTCTTCCTTCCCCTCTCCCTATCCTCCCTCCCCAGATAAAGCCCTTTTTAGCCCCAAGTTACCCCAAAATGCTCACAGTTGTACTAGAAGAGACTGAGGAATCAATCAAGGTACCCACGGTGAAGCCAAATACTTATAAACACATTAAGGCAGGTTTCACATCATTTCATTTTTTGGACACAAAATGCTGGTCACTTCACTGCACATGCAAATAAGAAAGGTTTAATACTTAATAAAAAGCTTAAATCCTTTTTTTCTTTTCTTTAAGGTAACAATTATAGAAAAAAATCAACCTTTTGCCTTGTTTTTAAAAGAGGTCAGAACATTACTGCACATGAAAAGCAGATGTGTAGAAACACCTATTGGAATGGATTCCCTTCCCTCCACACACACAGAAACAGAGGTGAGGGTTCTTGGCACCAAAAGAGAAAAGAGGAAGTCTTCCTCATTGTCAGTCAGAAATGAGTAATCCTCCCATTCTGAGTTGAGAAGGTCCTTCTGACCAGAATAAACCAAAGCAAAATATACCACTGAGCTGGTATATTTCTCTTTATCTGTTCTGCTATGCCTGAGCATACACAGAACTCCATATAAAAACGTGCACTGTAGTGCATTTGGTATGATGTCTGAACTCACTAAAAAACCAGATTGCCATTGACCAGTTCCTCATGTGTAACTTCCCCTACTCATCAAAACCTCAGGTGGAAGAGGCACTGGTAGTTCATCTCTGAGACTACGCTGCCAAGACCAATGTGGTCTTGTGAGGAAAATGAAATTCACTGACCTGAATTGACACATGGAATGACAATCCACAACATAAAATGACCTCCGTACAGACAGGTAGCCCACAGCAGAGCAGCCAAGGAGTGAAACGGCATCTCTCTCTCGCTTGCATCAGAGAGAAAATGGTTTCTATGGGTCATCCTTAAAGGTACTTGGATAGAAAAGCTTGAAAAACGTAGCACCTATCGCTGACCCACAAAACCAAAACTAAAAAGGACAGGGAGTTTGGTTCCTAATACATTCCCTCCCACTGTTTTGCATTCCTTTATTCCCTCCCACTTTTGTTTTTTCCCCCCGTTGCCCTCCCCCTTTACAAAAAGGAGGGGGAGTAGAGCTTAGTCAAGTTCCATCTTCCAAACTACCCAGCAATGAATGAACCATCAGCTTCTTGGCTTTCCTGAAGTGTACATCAAAATGCTCATAGTTGCAGCTGGACTGGTGGTGCAAGTTACTCTGCAGACACTCTTGGCTTTGTAAATAGTTGTGCTGACCCTGCTGGCAGGGTTTGTACTGGGAATTCTTACGTGGAACTCCCTAGAAGAAAAAGAAAAAAAGACCTGGTAAGTTTAAGAGACACTTCTGAATGCCTTTGCAGCACCGCTGCCAAAACATCACCACTTCTTTATCTCCTGTTTTTCACCTTCAGCAGATAGTTTGTTATGGTTCTCTGCTGGGCCAGACCTCTGTAGTAGAAAGGAATGTGAGATATTCACTGTCCAAATAAAGCTACTGCTAGTCATGTGGTAAACCAGGAAAATATAGAGCCCAGATGCAAGATGGTATCTCCCAAACGCTGAACAGATTTCACATTACAACCAACCTTCCAGCTTCACGTAAATCGTTCTTCATTCTCCCTCGTGCTGAAATGCAGCTGCCACTCCCTCCAAAGGGCTTTTTCTTTTCTTCTGCTCTTCATCCTAAAGATCCTTTCTTCCTCCACATTCTTGATTCCTGCCTGACAGGCTCACACCACTGGAATCTGCACAATGCAGCACCCAGGCTATTGGCTGTCCTATCTCAGAGACAGAAAGCTCACTGCTTTCTCAGGCTAAAATGACCAAACATTAAAACCAGTGAGTTCTGTTTTCATCTCACTGCATGAGGTGCCTTCCCCCCCCCTACCCCTCTGCATTCCTACACAGTACAAATTTATTACTGAGAGCTACTTTGGGTTACAAGACAATAAAAAAATTCCACCTGCACCTTTAAAAAGTCCCACTGTACAAGTGAAAGTCAGACAAACTTGAACGCAAGCAGCAGCTCCTGATGATAACTTTAAAGGCTGCTCAGTGTTAAAGGCACATCTCTGTGAACCCTGCAGTTGGCAGCATTAAACAACTCAGTTCTTCTCAGATTCTGAACACGTACGTTCTTCTGTTGCTTTCAGTTTCCAAATTCCTGCCACAAAGTATTTTAGCAACTTCCCTCTTCTGCTAGTCAGGTTGCCCTTTTATGATTTCTAAAAATATTTCCAGTTTCCAGAAATGTGCCCTCTAATATGTTCTGCAAGTAAAATGCTTGCTGAAAAAGCAAAAAGAGCCCATAAGACATCAGCTGTCCTGCCTCCCTGCAGGATCCTCCTGCCTATCATAGGTCATAATAAATAAACTGGGGGGGAAAAATGACACCACAAGGCATAAATTTTTAAGAACTGATCCATTTTCATTATCAAATCCTCCACGTGTTACCATTCAGAGTTCTGGTTACACATTCAGCCATTCCATCTGATGCAAACTTAAGGCCCAGAACACTTCATGACAATGCAAACACTCAGCAGATATCACAGTCAACAACATATTTGATTTCTGCATGAAAAGCACGCTGTGAAAGTGTGTGCTTAGAAGCAAGGATTGGTCAATATTTGCCAGGGTTCCCTTGGAAAACACTCCTGCCTTCAGTGAAGCACTACTCAATAAGTTACGGTGAGAAAGGAGGCTGTCACATTACCTGGACTATACATTCTCCATTTCCTGGTCATGATCCTGTTCCTCTTCTTCCTCCTCATCTTCTCCTTCTTCCTCACCTCCTTCTTTCTCTGTAGGAGCTTCCCCATCTCTTGCTATCTCCTCCACATGGGCCAGCATGTCAGCCATCAGAGCTTCCTCCAGCCTCTTCCGCACCTGCTGCACCAGCTCCTCTTGCTTCCTGCCCCCAAATCAACCAACATTTACATTAATTCTCAAAGCTACTTCAAGCAAAAGACAGATTGCTCATAGACAAGGCCGGGTAGAAAAGCAGGATTTGGAAAGAGTCTTCTGCAAGAGCTGCACCATTAAAAAAGAAAAAGCCTGGCATTAAAATGAGGTCGAAAGAAACACCTTAATTTTTCCATTGAACATTTAAGTGTTACAGCTCCTTTTATCTCAAAGTCACGTAATGCAATGTAAAGAATTGGTCAACAAACTGCAGCACATGGGATTCCTATTTCATCTCAGCCACAGGAAACCAGAAAGCTATAAACAGACTGCTTTTCCTGGTCATTCATGTCTAAATCACACCCCACAAATGTCATCCTGTAGTTCAAAAAGATCGACCAGCTCAACAGTCAAAACAATTTCTGCCTTTACACAATGTTAATGAATGTGAAGTAGTGTGATTTCAGGTTTGAGAAAGGAATATCAGGTGCAAAGACACTATCAGGTGCTTAAAGCTGAATCTGACCAACTCTGATTTATTGAAAGCAAGCTGCAGCTACTCGAATTGCATCCTCGTTCACTGCCACAGCAGTGGTTGATGCTTTTGGTTGGTCCTATGCTGACACAGAAGGGTAAGATGGTGAAAATACATTTGGTGTTTTCTTGAGAGGTGCCCTAACCTATGTTACTCAAACTCAGACATCTTTATCAGTTAAAGGAGACATATTGATATGAAGAACAAACACGAACCTGAATCCTCAGAGTAACTGACCACGGTCAAAATAAAACATAATGTGCTTTAAGTACATGACTGTGTGAGAGCTGCTTTGTGTGATGGTTTTTTTCCACCTTTCTGATAAATACACATTCAAAGCCATGCTCCTCTACCAGACGATTCAGCTTGAAACTGAACAGAGAGAGCACTGTTCTAAACTTTTCAAGACAATATTTTTTCTGATTGATACCTAATATCTTCATCAGTCACCATAAACGCTTTGCAAAGAGGCTGAGAGGTGTTGAGCCACACGCCAGGATTCTTCTCCACGGCTGCAGACAGCTGCCCAGTGATGGGCATGGTGCTGGTGTGCAGGGCACTGGCTATGGCAGACAGAAGGGTTTCATCAGTGCAACCAGGTCCGACCCCTGCAAGGCAGAGAAGTGAAGATCAGCACCACCCAACAAACAGCAAACCAAACAGAAAGCACTACTGAAATGTTAATGGTGAAGCAGGTAGTGTTATTTAGGAAGTCAGCACGACATAAATCTCAGTCCTAAATGGTTCTAATAGCACCTGCACAACTCCCCCCACCCCCCAAGGTTATTTAAAGCCAGATGAATCCTTCATTGTGCCACGTAAAACACAGCCTGGGAGTGGAAGTGGTTTAAGCAGGCACTGTTTCTGGAATACAAACAAACAGAAGTCAAGCAACTTTGCCACTTCCTTTCATTATGCTGCTGTATCCCCTAAGGACAAAGGGAGGTCAGAGGGCACTAACAGCTGCAGTTGGAGGAAGAGTGGTCTGAAAGGCTCAACCATAGCATCTCTGGATCATCACTGGAACCAACCCAGAGCTAAGGGCAGGCTGATTACCTTGTAAACCTTTTGGAAGGTCCATTGTTTTCACCAGCTCCTCTGCGATGTCAAAAGCGTTCAGCCCGCTTAATTTCTTCTCCCAGAAGAGCTGCCATGAAAGAAAGCATTGGTTGGTACACAAAAAGAAATGGAATCACACCCAACACGTGCTTGCTACAGGAGCAGGCAGGGCACTGCTGCAAAGGTTGTAGTCATTACAGACAGGGCTCTGCCATGCATGAAGGCAGGGAGCAAACCTCACTGCCAGTCAATCCCACACCTCATCCTGATTTACTGCCCTGAAGGCTTTTCCCCTGGGGAGCAGAACATCTCTGCTTCTGAACTGGAGCAGTGAGACAACACTGATTGCTTTCATGCAAGCACAGTACAGGACAGCAGTGTTATGCTCCTATTCCTCTTCTGCTCTCTCTCACGTGCCACAGAACTGAAGTTAAGGAATGCAGAACTCATCTGAGCATTATTTCACTCCTCTCCTGGCATTTTTCATTAGAACCATCCCATCTCATCCTGAATGCTGCATTACAGGTTCTCCTCAAACTTAAAGGCAAGCGAAGCCGTGGGTTGGTGGGGAGATTGAAAGGCTGGGCATGCTTTCATCTCTCAATCTGCCTGTAAAAGGATGATCAGTGAACAGCTGGAATGCATTTTTTCTTGCATTAAAGCAACTTTACCCAGGTAAGCAGGCCAGACACATCTCCTTTCATGCCTGACAACATCCAAGCGTTACGAGCTTCTAACTGAGAAATGAGGGCTGCAAAAGCCAAAACACACTGGGGCTGGTTATTCTCTCACCTGTGACTTTCAAACAGGTGGATATTACAACCAGCACGTGATGGCTTATAGGAGGAGCAACAGAACTGCCAACACACACCCTCCCTCCTTAGGAAAGGATGTTAGAAACCCAGCAGCCTGGCTTTAAAATGTAACCACCACTCCATTTCAAAGAGATCCTCAGTCATGTTTCACTAAGGTAAGTTCTCAAGTTCTTAGTGTGAGACCTAAGAGTATTTTATAAGGTATTTTTAATGAAATTGCTTTCCTCTTTGTGTGATACACCTGCAAGAGCACAAGATATCCCGCTAATTGGTACCATTGACAGCATCTGAACAGACTAATGAAGCTGAACTTCTAGTTTCCAAAAGGCATAAAGATGGGCTCACGACTGGAAAGGATTCACAGAAACCCTGGTGTGAGTTCTGTGCAGGCAGCAGGCTGTCAGCTCTGGGCAGCACTAATGAACTGAGAACGCCTTCCAAAGGCAGCTTTGAACACACCAGCCTCACTTGAACCAATGCCCAGCTCCCAAGCTGCATTGGTCCAAGAGCACTCTTTGCATCCTTTCACTTGATGAAATTAAGCTGAAAGATCTCTTTTACTATTGGTTTGTTTTCTAGCTGGCAAATATACAGCATGAGAAGAAAAACAACAGGCAATTTTGTCACAGTGACATTCCAAGTGAATTTCTGATCGTACTCAAAGAGGTGGAGTTAGCCAGCAATGACAGACCCATCTGCAGGGGGTACCATCCTGTGTAGCACATCACAAGCACCACAGAGGAACAGGGACTTCTTGAAACACAGGATCTGAACATTTTATAATGGCTGCATTAAATTGGTGATGACTTCTAAGTTGTAGATAGGAATTAATTTAAGAGCTGGGAGCACTCTAAGTTTTCTGTAATCTCACGTTACTGTGGACTTTCTGTCCAATGTTACAAACTTCAGCCATTTTATTTTGGGACTTCTCAACAGCAAAAACTTAGCTCTGCAGTGAAGGATCATGAGAAACAGGATGTGAACCAGCAGTGTGCTCATGCAGCTTGGAAAGCAAATGGGCTCCTGGGCTCCATCAGAAGCAGGGACAGGGAGGTGATTGTCCCTCTCTACTCTGCCCTCGTGAGGCCCCATCTGCAGTACTGCACCCAGGTCTGGGGCCCCCAGTACAAGAAAGACAGGGAGCTGTGGGAGAGGGTCCAGAGGAGGGCCATGAAGATGATCAGGAGACTGGAGCACCTCCCCTATGAGGACAGGCTGAGGGAGCTGGGCTTGTTCAGCCTGGAGAAAAGAAGGCTGCGGGGTGAATCATTGCAGCCTTCAGTACCTAAAGGGAGCCTACAAACAGGAGGGGAATCAACTGTTTGAAAGGGTTGATAACTGCAGGACGAGGGGAAATGGTTTGAAGTTGAGGGAGGGAAGATTGAGGTTGGATTGAGGGGAAGTTCTTTGCTATGAGAGTGGTGAGGTGCTGGAACAGCTGCCCAGAGAGGCTGTGGATGCCCCGTCCATCCCTGGAGGTGTTCAAGGCCAGGTTGGATGGGGCCCTGGGCAGCCTGGGCTGGTATGAAATGTGGAGGTGGGCAGCCCTGCCTGCAGCAGGGGGTTGGAGATTCATGATCCTTAAGGTCTCTTCCAACCTAAGCCATCCTATGATTCTTCCTTCTGGAAAAGCAGACTCTGAGCTCCATGCCTCACCTGCCGGGGTTGGTCCACAGCTTTCTGTGGATCACTCTTCACCTTATTGCTGGGATGGTTTGTGATCTTTGTGACAGGCTGCTTGAAGATGGAGGCAGTCTGTCTGACAGGCAGCGCCGTGTTCAAATCAGGCTTGCCCTAAACATTTCAAAACAAAAGAAAGGAGAAAATGCCAGAAAACGTTTTACATTTGCCAAGATTCTACTACAGCTATAAAGAGGCACAGTGTGCAAAAGCAGCAGCACTCATGGACTTGAAAACCTGCCTGATCTGTAGCAGTGAGACTGCTGAAGATGCACACAGTACCCCTCAAATCTCATCCAAGGCCTTTCAAACATAACCATGCCTTCCCCTCTTCATCTAATTCATACAGTTTTATTTCTATTTTGATGGAATTCAAGAGTCAGAACACTGATTTTAGGTTCTGATGTGACAAGCCACCTTTGGGTCACTAAACCTAGAAGTACTGATACAACATTGGTAATGATGAGAAAAATCTGTTATGTGGGATTTAGAGAGCAGTTTGTGAATCCAGAAACCACCCTGACCTCTCTGGTTTTATTTGCTGGCATCCACTACTGAATTACAACAACACAGCTGGAATCAAGTGCTCTTCTCTTCTACAAACCTTTAGTTCTTAATAAAACTCACTTCTGACAGCACTGATAACCATCAGGTTGGACTAGATGAACTCAGTGGTCTTTCCAATCTTAATGACTCTGAGGTTTCACAGCATGACTGCACCTTGAGTTACACGGAGGACAGGAATTGTGCCCCTAAGATCTGCCCTGCTCATCTGGGAAGCCTGTGGGACAGGCTTTGTTCTCGAGAATGCAGACACACTATCTGCTAAACATATTTCTGAGGTGTAGAAAAGGACTGAGGACAAACAGTGCTCTGAACCATGCTGTGTGCTCACTGATCCATGAGCTAACGACGGCTGTTTGTACCCCTCATCCACACGGTGCTGCCTCCTCAGTTAATCCCAAAGGTGTACAACTTACTTTGGCTTGGTTGGAACAGTCGTAGCGCATCCTCTGCCTGTTTTTGTTCATTTTACTCATCAGCATTTTCCCCGTGCGGAAGTCAAAAGTGCTCAGGTCCATGGAGCTGCCCAGGTAGCGAGCCAGCTGGGGTTTGCTGCGGAACTTCTTACCACTGGGGCTGGAAAAGCACAGAAAAGAGATCAGGAGGGAGAATGAAACCCTCTGCACTTCAGCACAGCGGCTGTTTTAAGTTGTTTCCCTTCCTGAGCTCACGATGGGTTATCACTGCACTCATGTCAACTTCTTGTTGTTATTGGGAGAGACAAATGGAGCAGAACTTGTTGGGAACAAAATTTAGACCATGTATAAATTAATAGCATAATTAGCAGAAGAATTGGAAACGATGGCACAGAGGCAGCTATCACTCAGTCGTCTCCAATAACAACACCTGTTTCCAAGGATAATCTCATTGTGTCTGAGAGGGACCATAAGTCCTCCCCAGACTCTGTTGTGCAGCAGCAAGGAGGAGGAAGTTCACTGCCAAGGTGCAAAGCAATGAAATGCAACGCTTAACTGATGCAAGGATAAAGGTCAAAACCTTACAAAACTCTCAATTAATGGCAAAACAGAAGAGATTTGTTTCACGCACCTGATTTCACATGGGAAGCTACAAGCTGGCAAGCACACACAAACCACTCCAACCCTTGTTTTATTTTAATAACAGCAGAACCCTCTGCACTACTACCAAAAGCACTAATTGAGCCCCTTTGTATTTCGTGCATAAAGCAAAAAGCAGTCAATGCACTGTGACTGCAGAAAGTCGTCCTCACATCTCATTTAGCATCACAACAGTGCTGCTTTATTCTCTTAATTTCTCTCCTTTCTGTTATTACTTTGCATCTTTAACATGCCAAGTACTTTGTTTCCTGAGGAGCAGAGGACAGCAGTGTGCATCCAGCAGGCAAGGTGCACATTCAGTCTGATACAGGCTCTCACCACTGCACCCAACCCAGGTAACATGAGTGAAATCCACCAAAAACTCCAGTTGAGCCCTTCCCACATGTGTCTGTTTCCTTCTATCACACAGCAGTTAGCAGTGCCAGGACAGATCAGTCCTATCACGTGGGAGCAGGATTATCTCTGAGTGCAATGCTGCTGCTTTTGGGTCGAGGTAACCCCAGATTACACACATTACAGACTCCATTTGCTCCCCTAGAGGAGAGAGAGAGGTGTTATCAGCACAACTTACACCCGTTGGACACAAATGAGCACAGATGAGGTTTCAATGCCTTCCGGAGCCGGTTGGAGATCTGTAATTAAGTCACCTTCTGTTACTCCTAAAGCTAGAAACACAGCTTCTTGCTCATAGATTTCTACTCAAAGGCCAAGAATAACTGGAAATAATGAAGCTGTCATAGACAGAGGGAAGCAGCACTGCTTCAGCAATGCAGAACACCCCCCAGCGCTGCGGTGCTGAGATGCTAACAACCTCTCTGGGGTCTTCTTTAGGGTAGCTCAAAGGAAAAAGCCTTTTTCTACCATATTATCTACTTCTTTGAAAGCTCCATAGCAGGACAGTCTGAAAAAAGCAGTGTGAGCACAGGATTTCTAGTCCCATGGGGGAAGGGAAGGGAAGGGAAGGGAAGGGAAGGGAAGGGAAGGGAAGGGAAGGGAAGGGAAGGGAAGGGACCAAATAGTTTAAAAACTCTCTCTCTCAAAAAAAAAACCTCCTGAAAGGGAAAGTGAGTACACATCATACTGAAAACATCAGAGGAAGAAGGGCTCCATCCCTGTCTGCGTGCAGAACAGCTCGCTGTGAGCTGCAGAACGCTCAGACCAGAAGATGGCATCAGAGCAGGAAGAAGCAGGCAGGAACAGACTGGATCCAGACATCAAATTTGAAACCGCTGCTTCAAAACACAAAGGGAGCTGTATGCTGTGATCCCCAAAGGAAGAACCAACTCCAGCAGCGTTCTGGGCAGAGCTTTCTCTGCTGTCAGCAAAGTCAAAAAGAAAAGCTCCTGCTGCTTGAAAGGCACGATGCTGCTTCCTCTTCTGAGACTTGCAGCTCCCATTTATTTAATAGAAACAGAAATCCACCGAAGGGAATGTTAAAAATAACGTGCTGAGGTGCAAGGTTCTTGTTCTGCCACTTCAAAGCGTGGGGGATTCCAGAGCAGCAGAGCCAGATGCACTCAGAGCACGTTGCACAGAGCCTGCAGCTCTATTTGTCAGCATGCACTCTAGTAATTCTGCAAGGGATCCGAAGAACAGCTTCTAACTCAACTCAGCTTACAACTAAAACAATCCTGAAATGACTCAGAGCTCTGTCCCTCCTCCCTGGGGAAGCCTGGCCCAAAACAAAAGCACCGAGGGGTTAAAGAGAGAAACTTTGATCCCAACGCAATGGGGGAACGAAGCTGCAGAGCTGCTGCAGCTCGGTGGTGCTGAGAGGGGCAGAAAACAAAATGCAGCCAAAAAACCCCACTGACAAAACTCAGCAGGTTGTGCTTCCAGCGAGGCACAGAGATGGTGCTCCAGCAGCAAGGAAGCTGATGTGACTTTTAATGCACAAAAGGGGAAATTTCTCTCTTTCCGAGTGCAGAGCAAAAGCTTTGCTTTACCGTGGGTTTTTTTTCTTCCTGATACAGACTTAAGAAAGACACAAAAGAAAGAGACTTTGACACCAAACTGCAGAAATCAACCTCTTCTGGATGTGACTGCAGGTCCTGGTGCTGCGAGCACAGCGCTGAGCTGGGAATTCCCTCCTCCCACACTTCTCCCCACCCCTAAAAAGCAGGGAACCACGAAGCCACAAGCGATTCCCACGCTGCCCATCAGCAGCCACGCAATGTTTTCTGCACCCAGGACTAACAGAACAGCCCCACAGAGCCCTCATTTGCCACTCAGGGACACCGTGGGTGCAGATGGGTTGGATGCACGCAGCCCATTCAGGGCACGTGGCCACCAGGTGCCCACACTCTGTGCTCAGCTCAGCCTTTGTCTCTGTGCTGCCAGCATGCTCCCTCCTCCTGCCTCACTCAATGAGTCTCCTCCCCTCTGCTCTCCCTGTTTCCCATCCTCCAGATCTGAACAACTTGGGAAGCGAGGGACAAAAGGCAAAAAAAAAAAAAAAAGAAATCCCACCAGCTCACTCCGGATGTTGCCTGCCTTTCAATGAAAGGCGTCAAAAGGGGTGGGTGATCAGAAGCATATGCTTAAAGCCTCGTGATGGTTATAATGCTAGATGCTTTTCCTCCTCTTCTCACTCTTTTCCTGCTGCCTGCATCCCACCCACCCGAGGAACTCCATGCCACTGCTCCACTGTCCCCATTATTGGTGGCAGCAGGTCCTAAACTCGCCCTGGTGCTCCCACACCTCTATGGGATGCAATGAGAGCACAGACACAAAAATCAGCAGTGCAAACCCACCAGGACCAGGTGAGCCCTGCAGCCACCCCTCTTCTCATCCTGCTGTGCTCACAGGGATATCCACACATCAGCATCCCCATCACCCATCCCTGGCACCCTGCTGACAGCCCACAGCTGTTCTGAGCCAGAGCAACAGCCCACATAGAAGCACCACATCCACATGGCTTCGCTCAACGGGCCACCAAGGGCACAGATCCACCACTGGGCCACGCAGAGCATCGTGACTGAAGGGGCCACCCAAGGACATGGGGGCATGCAGGACGTGGAGGGGCTGCCAAAGATGTGGCCCCATAGACAGATAGGAGCGCTGCTGCACAGAGCAGCTGTAAGCCCTCCTTGTGTGGGCACAAAGCATGAAAACCACACAGCCAGAAGTCTCTCAGACTTCACAAACTGACACGATTCCCTTCATGACACGCAGAGCAGACCCTCCATCCCTGCTGCACCCCACCTGGATGCAGCCCATCAGCCCCACTGCACTGACACACCATCAAGCTCTGCTCCACCTGGCAAGGCTGGAGGACAATTCCCTGCAACAGAATACGAGGCATTTGCCTCCCAAAGCAGACTCCATACAGAACAGAAGGCATTTGCTGCTAGCATTTAGGGCTACCCAAGGAGATCTCCATACACAGCAGCCACAAGGAAGGCAGTCTGTGCTGCTCACCTTGGATTGGTGTTAATCCCCAGGGCTGGTGATCTCACACGGGAGCGTTTGTTTCCAGTTATTTCTGATGGGAAGCTGTGCACGCAATTGTCCACGCTCACTGAATCCGTGTGCTCAGAGCAGCTGGGTGAAAGAAAACAGCCAGGTAAGCAACAGGCAGAAATAGCAGAGGTATTAATAAAGCGCCGCTCGTATGTTTGCCACTCTGATGTAATTCAAAATGCAACAGTAACTGAAAATTAGTGCAGCGGGGCCACGTTTATACCTTTGATCTCTGTCCAAACTGATATAAAGGGAAAATCCATTATACCTTGGGAATAATATGGCACTTATTCTCTCTTTGCTCTGTTTTAAGCGTGGCTCTGAGAGCACAACTCTCCAATGAAGTCCCTGGGAAGCATCTGCACCCCCAGCTCTGCAGGTAGGGCTTTCCCTTCCCTGGATCCAACACTGTTTGGGCACCTCCAGCATCAGACCCTGACAACGAGCACTTTGCTGCTCTGCTCAGTGCACAACGCTGATCCTCACCATCAGAACGTGATGGTGAGGATGAACGCCGTGCGTGCTGAGCTGACAGCACATCCCACCAACCACAAGGGCTGGGTGAGAGCAGCCTGGCACCCACACTGAGCTCCTCCAGCCCTGGGTTTGCCCATGGTGCAGCTCCTGGTGTTGGAAGGAAGATCCACATGGCTGCGTTCTCATCTCCCATCTCCTCCAGGCAAAGCAGGTGAGCACACCCCACGCTGCTGAGCCCTCTGCCTGCCCTCAAAGCACAACCTGCTGCCTCCACTCGACCCCAAAGTAGCACAGGACAGGGGGTGGGTGCAGCCCTGGGATGATGGGATCCTCCTGCTGACACCCAGAGCACCCATCACCCATCGGACCCACCGCCCTGCAGCACTGTGAGGGGATGAGGGCACTGGGAAGGGATCATCCCACAGCACCCAGCTCCTGGGGCAGCACATAGCAGGGAACTGGCAGCCCCCAAAACAGCCCCCAACACCCCAAAGCAGCCTCCAATGATTCCAAGCAGCCCCCAATGACCTCAAAGCAGCCCTCCAGTGCCCCAAAGCAGCCCCCCAGCAACCCCAAAGCAGCCCTCCCGTGTCCCAAAGTGCCCTAAAGTAGCCCCCAGTGACCCCAAGCAGCCTCCAATGACCCCAAAGCAGCCCTCAAACAGCCCCCCAGCACCCCAAAGCAGCCCTCCCATGCCCCAAAGCGTCCTATAGCTGCCCCCCAACGACCACCAAGCAGCCCACAACTGCCCCTAAAGCAGCACCCAATACCCTGAAGAGCCCTCAAGAAGCCAATAACCCCAATGCAGCCTCGCAACGACCCTCAAGCAGCTCCCAGTGACCCCAAAGCAGCCCTCCAATGCCCCAAAGCACCCTCAAGCAGCCCCAAATGACCCCAAAGTACCTTCAAGCAGCTCTCAATGACCACCAAGCAGCTCCAATGACCCCAAAGTGCCCTAAAGCAGCCCCCAATGACCCCAAAGCGCCCTCAAGAAGCCCCCAACGACCCCAAGCAGCTCCCCTACAACCCCAAAGAGCTCCAAAGCAGCCCCCAACAACCACCAAGCATCTCCAATGACCCCAAAGAGCCCCAAAGCAGCCCCCAAGGACCCCAAGCAGCCCCCCAATGCCCTAAAGAGCCCTTAAAAAGCCCCCAATGACTCCAAAGTGCCCCTAAAGC